GCTTCCTTTAATTCATCACTTCGTTTGCAAGAAAAATTAGTCACATTAATAATAAAGATTGAATCGATGAAAAAATTGTGCACATATTTCACCTCTCTAGAAGCAGCAACCAATGCTAATTGCAACTGATCTGCTAAGCAATGAACATAGTAGGCATAAGGACAATCATTTAAAAATAATCGATCTTTCCGTTTCTTTCTTCTAGGTGCGCATGTTTTTCATTAGTTTGGTCTGGGCGGTGGGCTGGGATTAGATTTTGGGGTGGGTTAATGGGGAATAAATTTTGGAGTGAGTTGATATAATATTACTTGTAAAATTTCTATTTTTTTAGGCTCTTAAACAATTGGGTTTCTGCGAGTGGGCTATGCTTTGGGGGAGAAAATATTTTTTGGGGGGGTTCAAAATTTTTCTTGGAGGGGCGAGAATTAAATGTTGGTGGGGTAAAAATAAAATTTTTGTATATATATATACTAAAAAAAAATTGTTGGGGGGGCGGCAGCCCCCTTGGGTCTGTACTACGGTCCGCCCCTGCCTATAAAGTCCCCAAATCAAAATGAAAATATAATAATATTTTGATATGTTAAATAAATTGAAATTGGGATGAGAAAGAAAAGTTGACTTTACAAATCATTTTGAACCCGAGAAATTGCGGACTAAAGTGCGCGCGCAGTGACAGATCTAGAACTTTTCTCAAGCGGGGGCACTGTTGTATGGAGGGAAACTGGTCATGTGTGAGGAGGCTAATCTATTCACTCTAATCCACGCGTTCAGACAAATTTTTGAAATGGAAATAAGTTACTACGTATTCAATATCAGTTTGAAGTGATGTACATATATGTATTATAGGGGTCCTCTACAGTTTGAAGTGATGTACATATATGTATTATAGGGGTACATAAACAAGTTTAATCTATTCAACTTGTATTTAGAAAATGGAACTCTACTTTTAATATAACTTCTTTATCCTTAACGTTAGTTTTCCGTTAAGCAGGGCGGATCTATAGCTTAACGTACTAGGGTAAGCCAATGCTTCACCTGAAAAAATGCTATCAGCTTACCCGGTACTACCATTTTAATTGCTACCCTTCTTAGGGGCTACACGTCCACCTTATATTTTTAATTTTTAAAATTCTACTCTAGAGTTCAGAAGCTAGCTTCTAGGCTCTAGTTCAAGATGGAAGTTTAATTTATTGTGAATGGACCGTAAATGACAAATTCTATCCAATTATCAAAATTAATTTGCTAGTCCTTGCACAAATTAAAGAAATTTCTGGATTTTGAAAGGACTTCACTCACTACTGCAGCTTCTTTTTCTAATTTATTAGATCTAAATTATAAGTTTTTTTTATTTATATTTATAAGATTTATTATAACTATTGTTATTATTATTTTAACAAATTGTATTCTCTAACACTTCAATATGTTTGGTATGCAAATCACCAGGTTAGTTTTACTATACACATGTTTATATTTAGTGTAGTACTCCCTCCGTCCATTATAAAGGTTCCATTTCAATTTACGATATTTGATTGGCGATAAATTCAAACGATCCATTGTGAATACACATATTATTTTAGCAAATAAAATTTACATATTTAGAAACTACGTTAAAAGTTTTTTAATGGCGCACTTTTTCCCCATTAAAGCTAGACGTATTAAGTAAAAGATTAAAAGATGTTTAACTCGACCACAAAATAGTGATCGGGTACTTCATTTAGAGATGGGGGTAGTATTGTATGTGTGCATACACCGACATTTGATGCCTAGATCCACCACTGCCGTTAAGTCGATTTTCAAAACCCAGAATTCCACATAGCCTCGTCTGTACTATCTAATTTAAGGTTATCAAAAGGATATCGATCAACTTGACTCATGGAGTATATTTTACTAAAAACTTGTTTCAAGCAAAAAAGTCTTGAGTCTAAACTTCATGCTGCTGAATACACAAAGAGAATATTCAACCTAGTAAATAATTACAAAAAATTATTTGTACATGCCCAAATCCATACACGCCCGGCCCTACATGCCACAACGTCTTTGAGGGTATTCAAACAAAGTTACATTTTTCACAAATAAAATATGCTTTGTTTGTGAACAGTGTATTCACGAACAAAAAATACTGTTATAGACGGCATGTATGGAGCGTGTATGGATTTGATGTGTACAACAAGAATTTTCGAAAAAGATTTTCCAGCTCTTAGCTTTAGCTCTTAGCGGCATGTATTCGGAAAAGTTTTTTTAAAACTTCGAAACTCACCCAACATCTATACTCTTACCAGCTCAATATGCACATAATTAATTAAGGCGTTGACACTATTGTCACAGTTCAAGAGCATATTGTCATTTCAACTATTTCATATACTTAATTGAAAAATATAGTCAATTCACATAATCACATAGCTTTAAAAACATATAGGCTATTTTCCACACAGTAGGTTGTGGACTAAAAATATAATTGATCCGATTATTTACAAAAAGAACAGTTTCTCACACTATTTAAAAAAAGACTTATAAACATCTCACATATAATAATAGTTATTTACAAAACAAAACAAAAACGTTGACATTGGGCAAAAGCTCTCGCGCCTTGCGCGTCCAAATGCTAGTATATATGACTAAAATAAATTTTGATTACAAAAATATGACCACTTAAGTGTGATTACTATAGTATTAAGGGAAATTATCATTGACCTCCCTTGAGGTTTGATGTATTATCAATCACACCCCTATACTATCAAAAATATAATCTTACCCCCTCCCTATCCATTAAAGATGGTTAAATAACTCTTAATCTATATTTAGAGCAAATTATAGATATAATTTCATAACCTTTCATTATGTCGCTTTTAATACTGTAATTTTATTCAATCACAAATTTGGTCGGGTAATTAATAAATTTGTCCATACTAAATACATTTTTATAAAAAGTCGAACAAAATAAAAAAAACCAAAACTGACCTCACTTTAGGTAGTTCGTTTTATGCCTTTGAATTTGTAAAGTTAGTAAATTTACTCAATTGAAAATGATCAAAATACGCTAAATTTGTCAAAAATTGAAACAAATCAACTTAAATGAACCAAACCCACTCAAAAATGAAGTTTACTACTCGATTTTACCATTAAAAATTAAATGCAAGAAAATTACCAATTTGCACTCTAGACACTCTGTGTTATCACTGGAAATGAGATCATTATAGGTATAATAACAGCTTGTAAATTAATTTTTGACAAAATATGAACAGGTTTACATGTAAAAATACTGGTAAAGGAATTATAGTTTAGGACGGGTTGCACACCCAAACTGGTTAGTGCTAAATAATTAGGGTGACCCATGACCTTATATTCGGTTCCAATCTACTAATTGGTCTAGATTCGCTCCCAATAATTCAAATATTTTAACTACCTGTTTTTCAACTTGTAAATGGGCTATAACCCATCTTAAAATATTCTCAATGGTTTTAATGAAAAAAAAATGAATGAGGTAAAAACAAGGGCTCCAATCCCGATCCCAAAAAGTGAGGCACGAGGCCTCTTTTTCACCGGTCTGGTATCGGTCCCGATCTGAATTCTTAATTTAAAATTCGGCCATTCTCGAGATCAGGCCTTGTCCTCCCCGAATATGAATCACAAAAGTAGGTATTTTGACCACTTTCCATACGAATCAACAATAGGTAACAATAGTCTCCTAAAAGTTCTTCACCAACATCTATTTTAGGTATAAAATAATATTCCTCGTTATCGGGCATATTTCCCTCGTTAGAAAACTTTCACCAAGATTTGTACAATCTCAGATATATTTTCGAACTTTTAAAAGTAATAGATATGTATTGTTTTAAGTTTGTACCTTTCGATTGTGTCTGCTACTAGTTCTATAATTTTACTCACATGTAGATGTAGTTAAGTACCTAATAAATTTGTCAATAGTAAGTGATAGAGAATATATTCTATTCAATGTATATTTGTCATATTTGTTAAGCATATATTTAGCCTCATCATTAGCCTAATGTTTACCCCTTAATTGTAGCTAATTAGTATTGTAGTGATAGCCTAACTATACTCTTGTAACGGTTGTACTCTTGTATATAAGCCATTGCGCTTAATGAAATAGGCAGGCAATTATATTCTTTCATGGTATCAGCCTAATTTCGATCTTGGCCTATTCTCTTTCCCTAACACCAGCCCTCAATCTCTTCGACCTTACCTCTTCCGCTGCACCATGTCTAATCCCAAATTCCATCCTGCCTTGACAATCACCAACGTCAAGTCCCTCATCCCTATCGAGTTGGATACAGAGAACGGCATGTATCACTCCTGGGCTGCTTTATTCAAAGTTCTTGTTAGGGTTCATGATGTCTATGAGCACATCATCCCTCCCGTCAAACCAGACGAAATCGCCACCTATGAACAATCAAAGGCTGCCGATCTCTCTCTCTGGAAGCGTCTTGATGCTGCGGTTTTGCAATGGATATACGGGACTATATCCAACAACCTTCTTCTTGCTATCCTTCAGAAAGACGACACCGCTCAGGCATCTTGGGCTCGTCTTGAATCCTTGTTCCAAGACAATAAAGTTTCCCGAGCAACACACCTTGAAGAAGAATTGGCTGATCTTAATTTCGAGAATTTCTCGTCAATTGATAGCTACTGCAACCATATCAAAACTCTGGCCGGTCGTCTTGAAGATGTTGACGCTCCTATCCCGAACAGTCGCCTTGTTCTTAAACTAACAGGTGGTCTCCCTGAAGCATACTCTGGCACCGTTGATTTCATCCAAAACCAGGACCCAATTCCACCGTTTGAGAGTTGTCGCTCTCGACTGAAGCTTGCTGAGCGCACTATTAAAAATCGGCTGGCAAAGGAGAACGGATCCAGTAATCGTGCACAGGCAGCTCTTGTGACCTCCACTGGCGGTCCACCACACCACACCACCAACTCTGGGTCCTCTCGTGTTAATTCTAGAAATAATAAGCCGAAGAAAACAGGTGCTAAACCTGGGTTCGGGAAACCATTTGGCGCTATGAACCAACAACCCATCTCTTTCCCCACTGGGCAGACCTGGCAGCAGCAACCTTGGGCTTCTTGGGCTCCCTGGCTCTCTCACTGGCCCGTCCCACCACCATGCCCCTATCCAGCCGCTTCTTGGGCTCCACGGGCTGCTGCTCCGCATCCGGCTCCACGATCTGCTGCACCGGGTATTCTCGGCCCTCGTCCTCCCCAAGCCTACAATGTTATGGGTTCATCTGTCAGTTATACTCCTACTGACATTGAAGCAGCAATGCATGCTCTTTCCTTCACTCAACCAGACGGGAATTACTATATGGACACCGGTGCAACTTCACATATGACTGCAGATCAAGGTGCTCTTTCCTCTTATTTCAATTCGGGTATTAAACATCATAACATTGTTGTTGGAAGTGGTGATTTAATTCCAGTTGTTGGTTACGGTAGTACTACTTTACCCTCTCCATTCCCCCCATTTACCTTGAATAATGTGCTACATGCTCCCAAGTTGATTAAAAATCTGATTTCTGTCCGGAAATTCACAACCGATAATATGGTTTCTATTACATTTGATCCTCACGGATTTTCTGTTCATGATTTACAGACGGGAACCATACTCCTGAGATGTGATAGTAGCGGTGACTTATACCCTCTGTTCACCAACAGTCCAGTCAAGTCATTTGTCCCTCATTCTGCACTCACTGCTATATCTCCCGATCTTTGGCACAACCGCTTAGGACATCCTGGCGCTGCTGTTCTTAGATCTCTTAGACATTTAAAGTTCATTGATTGTAATAAAAGTCATATGACTTATTGTTCCTCTTGTCCTCTTGGCAAACACTCTAAAATGCCTTTTTATAATTCCATGTCATATACTATTCTTCCTTTTGATATCATTCATAGCGATTTATGGACATCTCCTGTTATTAGTTCGTCTGGCCATAGATATTATGTGTTGTTTCTTGATGATTACAGCAAATTCCTATGGACTTTCCCTATCTCAAAAAAATCCCAAGTTCCACATTTCTTTAAATCCTTTTATTCTCTTATCTCTACTCAATTTGAACGTAATATTAAGACGTTTCAATGTGACAATGGCACAGAATATATTAATAGCACTTTTAAAGAATTCTTTGATAACCATGGCATGTTATTCCGTCTTTCTTGTCCTCATTCTTCTCCTCAAAACGGCAAAGCCGAACGCCACATTAAATCAATCAATAACATCATTAGGACTTTACTTGCCCATGCCTCCCTGCCCCTCTCCTTTTGGCATCATGCTTTAGAAATGGCTACGTATCTTCTAAACATTCTACCCACCAAAGTCCTAGGTTTTCAGTCACCTACTCAAATTCTTTATCAATGTGATCCCATTTATTCGGATTTACATGTTTTTGGTTGCTTGTGTTTTCCCCTCTTCCCATCCACTTCCATACACAAATTACAAGCACGTTCCACTCCTTGTGTGTATCTTGGTCCTGCTAAGAATCACCGTGGGTTTAAATGCTACAACATGTCAACTGGGCAAATCATTATCTGTCGTCATGTGAAATTTATTGAAACCGAATTCCCATTTTCTAAACTTCATAAACCACAACCACATGACTATGACCCTCTGGATGTGCACCCAATTTCCCACCATTTCCATTACAGTACTTCTTCTTCAGTTGGCCGAGAGGAGCCTACCTATAATGGGCCATCCTCTGCCCCATCTTCTTCCCCGTCCAGTAGCATTGTTCAGCCTATTCCACCCCCAGATTCTGCCCCATCCAGCAGCTCTGTCCAGCCTAGTTTAGTCTCTTCACAGCCTACACCTTCCCTCATTCCCAGCCCAGAACATTCTCAAACTGCCGAACCTATTACCATTTCCCATCCGATGACCACTAGAGCCAAACATGGCATCTACAAACCAAATCCCAGATACTCCCACAGTCTACACACCACATCCATCTCCCACATATCTCCTATACCCAAGGACCCTGTAAGTGCTATTCGTGACCCCAATTGGAAACTTGCAATGTTAGATGAATTTAATGCTTTAATTGATAATAAAACGTGGGAATTGGTACCTCGGCCTAAAGATGTGAATGTTATTAGATCTATGTGGATTTTTCGGCATAAACGGAATTCTGATGGTTCTTTTGAGCGCTATAAAGCTCGTCTTGTAGGTAATGGGAATACTCAGCAGCAGGGTATTGATTGTGATGAGACATTCAGCCCGGTTGTTAAACCGGCCACTATTCGTATTGTCCTTAGCATTGCTCTCTCCAAATCTTGGTCCATCCATCAATTGGATGTCAAGAATGCTTTCCTACATGGGCATCTCAATGAAACGGTCTATATGCATCAGCCCCTGGGTTTCCGTGACAAGGGGCATCCTGACCATGTGTGTCTACTGAAGAAATCCCTTTACGGCCTAAAACAGGCTCCGAGGGCGTGGTATCAGCGGTTTGCTGATTTTGTATTCACTATTGGTTTTTCTCATGCTAAATCTGATCATTCCTTATTCATTTATCAACAGGGTTCAAACATGGCTTATATTCTTTTATACGTTGATGATATTATTCTTACAGCTTCTTCTAATCAACTCCGGAAGCATTTTTTGACTCTCTTGGGCGGCGAGTTTGCTATGAAAGATCTTGGTCCTTTGAGCTATTTTTTGGGCATTGGTGTCACCAGTACTCCTCACGGTATGTTCTTATCTCAAACACAATATGCCACCCAAATTCTTGAACGGGCAGGCATGTCTAATTGCAGCTCTTGTCACACACCTGTTGACACTAAACCAAAGCTCAGTGCCTCTCAAGACACTCCTTATGAGGACCCAACTAAGTATCGAAGTCTGGCCGGTGCTCTACAGTATCTTACTTTTACTAGGCCAGATATTTCTTATGCCGTTCAACAGGTTTGTCTCCATATGCATGATCCTCGGGATGAGCATATGAATGCTCTTAAGCGCATTTTACGCTATCTGCAAGGTACTCTATCGCTTGGACTACACCTCTATAAATCTTCCCTCACAAAATTAATTTCTTATACTGATGCTGATTGGGGAGGATGCCCGGATACCAGGCGATCTACTTCTGGTTATTGTGTATTTTTTGGTGACAATTTGGTCTCTTGGTCGTCCAAACGACAACCAACCTTGTCCCGTTCTAGTGCAGAAGCTGAGTACCGCGGGGTTGCGAACGTAGTTTCTGACTCATGTTGGATTAGAAACTTGTTACTAGAGTTACATTGTCCCATCCAGAAAGCTACCTTGGTTTATTGTGACAATGTGAGTGCCATTTATCTATCTGGCAACCCGGTGCAACATCAACGCACCAAACACATTGAGATGGACATTCATTTTGTTCGTGAAAAAGTTGCCAAGGGTGAAGTACGTGTTCTTCATGTTCCCTCCCGCTATCAAATTGCAGATATTTTTACAAAGGGATTACCACGTATATTATTTGAGGATTTCCGTGACAGTCTTGGCATTCGTAATCCTCCCGCTGCGACTGAGGGGGTGTGATAGAGAATATATTCTATTCAATGTATATTTGTCATATTTGTTAAGCATATATTTAGCCTCATCATTAGCCTAATGTTTACCCCTTAATTGTAGCTAATTAGTATTGTAGTGATAGCCTAACTATACTCTTGTAACGGTTGTACTCTTGTATATAAGCCATTGCGCTTAATGAAATAGGCAGGCAATTATATTCTTTCAGTAAGGACTATTTCATCGGAAAGTATGTGTTCCTGCAAAAAAAAGTACTTTCTGGTAGAAAGATTCTTAATACAGGTAAATTTATTAAGTATCAGATTAAATCTGCAAGTGAGAAAATTTATAAAACTAAATTTATACTTTTGCTAAACGTAATTATGAGTTATTAAATTTTTATTAAAGGATAGGGAGGGGGGTAAACACATATTTTCAAAAGTGTGGGGGTCTTAGTGATAATAAATGAAACCTCGAGGGAGGTCAATGATAATTTCCCTAGTATTAACTGTAGCCATAGTAACTTACATTCAATTTTTACACTTTGTGACTATGAGACTATACTATATCAACTATTAGCTAGTAAATAAGTTTCATTTGAGTAATATTTGTTGGATATGACTTGAAGCTTCAATTCGGTCCAAGACTTTGTATTTTAGTTGGAGTTAGTTTTTCATCATACGATATGAATTCAATTTCAGCCACATTAGGTTAGATGTTTAGGCCGAAGAGTATTACAAATACTTTTAGCATGTAACCTGAATTGTAGTATTGAAATAAACCTAAGTTTCCAAAATCCATTTCTTGTTTTTCACTCGGTTCTAACAAATTGGTATCAGACCCAAGTTAGTTATTCGGTTCTCGGCAAGACATGATGGCTGGGGTGAATATTAAGATTGATAAGTTCACCTGAAGAAACAATTTCAGTAAGTCTCTAGCAGATCAAGATGCATGCTCTCTTGAAGAAACAAGGGTTTTGGGCTCCCCCGGTGAGAAATACTCAAGTTGATGACACAAAATCGAAAAGTCAAGAAGAGAAGGCTTACTCGATGATCATGCTATGTTTGGTGGATGACATCATATGAAGTTTGCGAGGAGAGCCCTGCCGCTGGTTTGTGGTTAAAACTGGAGAATCTCTACATGACCAAGTCTCTAACCAGCAAGTTGTGTGTGAAGCAACACCTATTTTGACTATGTATGCAAGAAGTTAGTTCTCTCAAAGAACATCAGGATAAGTCGAACATGATTTTACTCGAGTTGCACAATATTGATGTTAAGATTGAGGACGGGGATGCTGCACTAATTTTGATAGTTTCATTACCACTGTTGTTGAGTTTAATCCAACACGATATAGAAAATATATGTATGAACACTCAGTTTTTACGTGGAAACCCTAAAGGGAGAAAACCACGGGACTTTTTAGGCTAATGTCCAAGCCCTCTCCTTCTCATTAGGACTCTCCTCCCATTACATAGTACAATTTGAGCTCCCATTAATGGAGTATTGAGCTAAGTCTAAAAGAAGAAAGAAGATGGAGCTTAAAGACCATCCTTTACATGGAGGGAAAACCTCCTATAAATAGGGAAAGGGGTGAGGGAGGTACTCCACCCTAATGGGCCAAGCGGGCCGATGTCGGGCCTAATGGCCAAAGTGGGCTAGAATGGGCCGAAATGGACCTAGCTGCTCGGGCTCCGTACTGGATAATGTCTTGAGCTCCTGAACAGTAATAGGCCGGGATAATATATCCCAACAACTGTCATATGAGATCTTTGTCCAGTCATTCATTGTTGGACACAAAAAGATGGAGGAGGTTGTTTTTCAATAGAAAAAGATGGCTATTGGGGAAGAGAACAACAACTTGAACTTCGATGATGAAGACGATGGAGAATTGGATGCAGCCGAGAAGGAGACTTAATTTCCGGTGGTGGGAATTGTTCTCACGGATCGGAAGATCAAGATTCAGGCATTTAAGGATCTTTTGGATTCAGTTGGCGACCAGGCAAAGAGGTTTCCATCAAGGAGATCGATGATAAAAGGTATTTGTTTACTTTTTATCATATTGTGGATGTGAATCATGTTCTTGAAGATGGACCATGGTTTTTTAGAGGAATTTATTATTGCTTAAGGTGGTTGGTCCAGATGATATGCCTCATAAGATGAATTTATATTAATCTGAGTTCTGGGTGCAGGTGCATAATGTTCTTTATAAGTTCATGAATATATGTACTGCTAGAAGGGTGGGAAATTATATAGGGGGGTTTATTAGCTTTGATGAGACCGAGTCACTATAATGAAAAATAAGAGTCTTATTTGAGAATTAGAGTGAGAATGGATGTTAAGAAACCTTTGAAGAAGGGCTCGACCCTCA